GTGCATGGTGTGAGGTATGGGTCTTGTTTCAGTTTTTTGCAGATGGATATCCAGTTATGCCAGCACCATTTGTTAAAGAGACTGTCTTTTCCCCAGTTAGTGGACTTTGGGCCTTTGTCAAATATTAGCTGCTTATAGGTGGATGAATTTATGTCTGGGTTCTCAATTCTGTTCCATTGGTCTATGTATCTGTTGTTGTACCAGTATCAGGCTGTTTTAACTACCGTGATGGTATAATAGGTTCTAAAATCTGGTAGTGTGAGGCCTCCCACTTTGTTCATCTTCTTGAATAATGAAAAGGCATATTTTTTAAGAAAGATTTATTGAAATATAATACACATATAGTAAAGTGTACATACTGCAGGTATAAAGCTTAATGAATTTTCATAAACTGTCTACCCCATGTAACCAGCTCCCAGATAAAGAAACACAACATTACCAGTGCCCTAGATGTCCCCTTCAAGGGCATGGGCATTTTATTTCATTTTGATGAACGCCCCTTAGTTGCTCAGCAGCAAGGGCTATAACAATGTACATCCCCAGGAGTCCTGTTTCCCTACAGCCTTCCGCAACACTAAACCAGTTGCCATGGAGTCAACTGTGACTCACGGTGACCCCGTATGTCCAACACTAGATGGTATCTTAATTTTTGCCAAGCTTTTGAGAGTTCAAAATTGCCAGAGAAGTTTTAAAGTTCAAGAGAAGCACCTGAAGAACAATTAGAAGTCAAAGTTAGTGAGGTCAGAGAGGAAGCTAGATGCAAGGGGTCAGAAAACAATTTTGCATATGATCAAACTATAACCTTGTTATGGATTGAATTATGTCCCCCAAAAATGTGTGTCACCTTGGCTAGACCATGATTCCCAGTATTGTGTGGTTTTGTGATCTGACGTAATTTTCCTATGTGTTATAAATCCTAATCTGCGCCTGTGGTTAATAAGGCAAGATTAGGTTATGTTAAAAATGATTATGGTGGGATGTAACACCCTAACGCAGGTCACAGCCCTGCTCTGATGTAAGGGGAGTTTCCCAGGGGTGTGGCTTGCATCACCTTTTATTTTACAAGATATAAAAGGAGAGAGAAGTGAGCAGAGAGATAGGGACTTACCTCATACCACCAAGAAAGCAGTGGCGGGAGCAGAGCATGTCCTGTGGACCTAGGGTCCCTGTACTGAGAAGCTCCTAGGCCAGGGGAAGATTGGTGACAAGGAACTTCCCCCTAGAACTGACAGAGAGAAAGACTTCCCCTGGAGCTGGCACGCTGAATTCAGACTTCTAGCCTCCTAGACTTTGAGAGAATAAATTTCTGTTTGTTAAAGCCATCCACTTGTGGTACTTCCGTTATAGCAGCACTAGATAGCTAAGACAAACCTGTTAGAAAAGTATTAAGATAACTGATTGAGATATTTCCTGAGCCTTGCTTTCCAAAGTTTAAGTTCATCATGAAAGAATTAAATGAATCTTGGCTTCCTCCTTTACTCCCCACTTCCCCACAAGAACTAAGATGTATTTCGAGGGGCAGGTGCTTGTTTCTGGCAGGATGCAATTGGGGATGGTGCGGAGCCTTTCTGTGTGCAAAGTGGTGAGACTAATAGTCGCATCAGTAGTAGCATCAGACCTGTCTAACTTCAGGAGGGATAATGACCAGGATCAGACCAAAGCTGATTCCTGTGAGGTAGAGGTCAGCCAAACTTCCACTCTCCAGTCTTTCTATCAATTCTGACACCAACTGTCCTCCCCACAGCACCCTCTACTTATCTGCTGGGCTCAATAATCCGTTGCAGTGGCCACACAGAACTCACAGACTGTACTTACAAGTAACAGTACAACTTGGGATCAGGATCAACAAACTACAACTCAGGATCAAGATCAGGAGGTATGTAGGCAAAGTCTCCCTTCCTCAGCACAGGACAGCTCTCTCAGCTTCTCTCAGCCATATAGACCACCTCTTCTGAAAACAGGCAGCTCTTGGCCCTGCTGTTTCATGATCAACTCTGTCACAGAGCCCCTTCTGGGCTTGTTACCACTGGCTCTGCCACAGGGCCTGTCACTGTCTTTAGTGTTACAGCCCTTGACCTGTGTTATAACTCTTTTAGAGGATTCCTTGCCTTCCCTTTCTGTCTTTTTTGTTCCTGTTGCTTCCTCATGCTGCTTCTTTTCCTGCTTTTTTCTGTCTCAGAAATCTCTGTGGGGTTGGCTGCATATATATACAAACTTCTCATAAATTTCAAGGCATGGCCCTCCCACCAGGGCCACAAACTGACCAATCTGCTCTCAGTAGGCTACAGCTACTTCGTTTGCATAGTAGGCTACAGACACTTCATTTGCATAGTCTTTTGACCAATCCCTGCAAGGTACATAGCAATTGTAGAGCAAGGTGCAGCCCAGTACCAGACAAAAAGTATCAAATCACAAGTTATTTACAGCTTACCCAGGAAATGTCAATCAACCTGGACAAAAGTAACAAACCCTCAAGGGTAGAAAACTATGGCAAAGGTAACTCCTCAGGGTTTAAGGGAAAAATATTTCAAGCTGTTTTTTGAAAGAACCAAGGCTCAAGACCACATAAAGGAACTCATTTCACCACACTGTGTGTTTCAGGGACACATGGAAAAAGACTTCTGTCCAGTCCTTTGTTTAGGTTATTTGGCCCATCAAGGAAATAAGCTGGAATTACCTGAGTGGGGTAGGAGTGCTTGATCTGGAAGGAGGGAATAACCTGAACTCTTGGCTTCTGTGTTCCTGACAGCATCTGATA